TCTTCAGCAGGGTACAGTTTTAGTGTCACATCATTATGGAGAAGTATTGACACAAACCAGTATTGCTCTTGGCTCTGTTTCTCTCTTGTCCCCCTTTTTATGAGCTGAAGCTCAGAAAGGCAGTTGGGTTTTCTAGGGCAGAGTGGACTCTGGACACTTTCTGATGATCTTTTGCAGGCGAAGGGATTGCTGTTTGGCCACCCACAGCACCTGGGCAGATTTTGCCATGTTCAGCAAAAAGGAGCTGGTTTTCCAGATAACTCACTAAAATGCACTCAGAAGAACTTCCCCCCACTCCATTTTTGTTTCCAAAGTCAATTTATTGAATATTAAGTCATAAAGCCAGTGATATAATTTTAATGAAAAATATCCTGTATCACTCAAGACTTAAAAGAACAAAAAATACCCCTTAAAAACACTGCTTTGAAAAATAATCACATTAACTTTGCACACACACACACAGTCCTTTCTTAAGCTTTATTTAAGAAATCGAGTACTATATAGTTCAATATATATAAGACACATCCAGTATTGTGTTCCTGATAGCAAGTGCATAGATTTTGTTAAGATATCATTTTCACTCGATATAAACGTTTCATGGTCACATGTAAGATAATATTCCCAGTGATTTTTGCCCAAGCATGAGAGGAGAAAACAGAACACAGCAAAAATAGTGAACTACAACAGAAATGAAAAACAAACAGTGAATTAGCAGAACAGTCGATTCCTGATAAGTGAATAAGCTGATCGTTTGGTCACAAGGTTTTATTCACTTATCAGGAATGATTCACAGTACGTTTATCTTCACTGTGTTTCCTAGCCTGCTAGCTAAGAGTCTGAGCCCATGGGTCATGCAGTTGCTGTAGGCTGCACAGGCATGTGGTCTCCATCAGCAAGGACATGTGGATGGTTCTGTGGTTTCCCAAGGTGGTCCATGAATGGCAGATAGATAGACCTTGCTCACACTGCAGTGGGGTTTTACAAAATGAAAATTATAAGTTGAAGCAGGGATCAACTTTACAGTCGTAAGTGCTTAAAGAAACTAGCATTTTCATCTTCTTTGGAGAATTATATTGTTGTTTTTTGCGAAACAACAAAAACTGGCTTTGTCTTTCCCTTCCTTTACTTAGCCTGGGTATTTTGTCTTGTGCCAAGTGGTGGTTATATTTACTTACATATTTTAGAAATAAACACTTGCATCTTGGAAAGAATTTGCTTACCCTTTTCCCCCAGTCTCCCCTCCCTCATCTTACCTCCCCAGCCTTCCCCAGGAAAAAAAGAAAAGTCCCATCTTTAGCCATCTAAGAAAGCAGGGAGTTTCCAGAGGCAAATTGATGAAGGCTACGATGAGATTTAAAGCGGAATTGTTGCCAGGAAGTCAGCTCCCATCTGTGCAGGTCTGGGGCTGGTGGAAGTTGCTAGCACTGAAGTGTGTGGCCTCTGGGAGAAAGACCCGCCCTTCTCACCTCTCTGGGCCCCTCTCTTTTTGGCTCAACTAAAAACTACAAACTTGAGGCCAGAAGTGGGTGGAGAACGTGAGCACCTGCAGGGAGAAATCTCATTGGCACCAGGTGCTGGATAGCATGAGACAGAACTTGTGTAACTGCAAGGAGAGGGAAGACTAGGAAACAGACATGGATGGAATCTTCTAAGAGCACTTTAAGAGCAGTCAGATTCCTGAGCATAGAAGAGGAACACGACAGGGAGGAGGGCCTGTAGCAGAGGGTATATAAAGAGTAGTTGCTCTTTCTGGTTACTGGTGTTGGGTGAGGATAGTGAGCGCACAGCTTACTCTCGTGGGTTCCTCCAGAAGGGTGTGCGGATGTGCATGGCCTTCAGGGTTTTCCTTTGGAAAAAGTACGCTGCCAGGACCTTAGTGTGAGAAGCTTCACCTCCCACTCCAGACTGAGTAGAGCTTCTGCTTGAACACTGGGGACTATTTTTAATTTATGTTTTAATAGTTAATGCTGACTCTGGATTCAGTTACCTAGTAGAGATAGATGACTTCTATCCATACCATTGACTGATGGCAACATGTAGATCTAGGTTTAACCCTTTACCCATCATCTATTCACCAGTTAAGTTTATTTTTTTTTCCTCCCTTGAGAGCTCACCTCTTTGAAAAGGTCACCAGTTTCTGAAATGAGCTTGGCTATTACGGTGTGTGCCTTTGGGCTTGGAAGTAGACAGAACAAACCTCAGGCCTGCTGCTTGTCTTCTATGGCTTTGCAGCAGCACATCTCAGTGAATGTTAGGAACTGCATACGTAATGAGTCCATACTTATGAGAGAGGGAGAGAGAGTGGTCAGAAGACCGTAGGGAGTTACTAGGCGAACCATAGAAAAAGGCGTATCAGGCTTGGAAGCGATGGTTAGAGTGGGCTGCTGTACAAAAACCAATGGTGGCTGGGGTGCAGTTTGCCCTTTCCTCAAATCAGATATTCACTTAGCTGGAATCGACTGTATCTTACACAACATATAGAAAGAAAACACGTGAAACAGTGAGGTGTGTAGATGCATCACCAACACATAATGACTACCAACAATACAACACGCAGAGAGAGGAACAAGTATTAGGAAAATGGTTTAATATTGGAGACAGAAGCAAAAAACCGCATCACACAATAACATACATTACAAAAATAAGTTTGACTGTTTCAACTACACGGTTATGTTCACAATGAGGACGGAAGAATCAGAAAAAACTTTGATCTAAACAGCAAAAAAGCAAACCCCTAAAGCTTAACTAATACATTTATCCACTTAAAGTGACTGAGTACTTCTAAATCTAATTACCTTATTGTGTAACTGCACAACACAATAAAAAGTGAAACTTACCGCTGTATTTTAAGACAAAGTTCTAATGCTAGATTTAAGCAAAGGGAAAAAAGAAATCAAGCCAAAGTTTTTAATTCTCAAAAGAAAAGCAACTTTCTTTCAGTCAACCAGAAATCAAACTTGAAATCAGTCATTGTCAGGGGGCCCACAAGAGTAAGCCACAAAAAATTTCCATTTTTTTTAATCTCCAGTATAAAAAGTTCCACTGGTACAAAATGCATAAGTACAATCAGTTGTAGAAATAGGAAAGCCTGCATTTTTTTGTTTGTTTGTTTGTTTTTGGCTCAAATTCCACCAAACAACAAAATCCAAATGCATCAATAAAACAAACAATACTCAAATGGTCTTACAGTTTCCACTAGGTTGCATTAACTTTGGCTTTTCTCAGACAATATTTAAAAACTATTTTGTAGTACTAAACAAAATGATATCTACAAACAACAATTCTCACAGCACAAAAACACAAATACATTTTTTTATGACATTATTCAAAAAGGTAATGAAACTACAGTTTTTTTTAAAATTTTATTTCTTCTTTTTAATTAGCACTTAAGATAATAAAAACAGAAACAGTAAAATGATTCCAGAGTAGCACAAGCCAAAGAACTATAACCCCTATGGTGAAAGAAAGATGAACTTGTTACACCTTTGACGACTGCCATTCGATCACATTTCTCTAATTTCGTTTAACATGACTATGCTCTACACTTGGTTTTGAAAAAGCAGTCTTCCTGTGTGCTCTGCCTTCTGGCATAGACCCTCTGCACCCTTGCAGTGTTTCATTTTGATATTAAAAGATAAAAGGACAGTGGAGGATTATCTTTTAAACAATGAAACATGCAAAAAAAAAAAAAAAAACCTACAAAACAAAAAAGGACTTTCCCCTAAATGTCTTGGACTGTCTTGGTTGCCTGCAAAATCATTCACACTCAACTCAGAGTACCCACTTGAGCCTCTTTTCAGCCGTACTGTTTTTCTCTGGGGAAGATGCAGGTGGGTAAGAGAAAAGCAGGGCAGTTTGTTTTAGTGAAAAAATCAGAAAAAAATTTTTTAGATTAATGAATAGATTCTGAATAAAATGGTCTAGGATATTCAGATGGTGTTCTCTTGTTTCTATGTATCTATACACCACCATATAATAGATACATGAGAGAGACATGTGCAATGACTTTTAGTAAGCTGAGTGCTGCAGGAAGTACAAAATAGCCCTCAAAGGATGAAGGAAGGCCCCGGCAGTAGTAAACACGTGTGAAGATAATACAAATCATTTAATTAGAAGTGCATGTGCTATAAGAAGAAAACATTTTTTTTTTTTTTGCATTATAAGAGGCTAGTCCTTTCCATCCCAGGGCTCTCTCTCTCTCTCTCGCTCTCTCGCTCTCTCTCTCTCTCTCTCTCTCTCTCTCTCTCTCTCTCTCTCTCACGCACACACACATGCACATGAAACCAAATGGGGGTGGTGAGGAGGATGAGGGAGTTGAGACCAGAAGCTTCCAGGGCCTGATTTCAGGAAGGTTGGAGTTTGGGTTGGGGCTGTGGATAGAACATTAGGGTTTTTGTTCACAGAAAGTCAAAGTGATATGGCACTTTAAAAAGTGGCAGCAGGAACTGGAGCTAGGTATTTGGTCAGTGACTGTGGTAAAGAACAACTCTACTTATATGGCCAATCCCTTACACATGTTCAGATGAAAGAGAGAGGATGGTGGGCTTCTCGTTCCAAGTACCTCAGCTATCAGGAGATACCCAGTGGAGTCAGAAAATCCCAGCACAAAGGCTGATTAAACATTTCAGGAACACTGAAGAAACAAAAGCAATCCCTCAGACTATCCCACCCCAAAAATCCTTCAACTGCAAGGTATCAAAGATTAGACTAGAACGAATTACTAAATCTGATCTCAAAAAGCATGTAGCATTTTAAAGGTTTAGAGGCTGGATCTACCTACTTCCCCCACAGAGGATTTACTCAGTAAACAACTGTAAATAGAAGGAACGCAAGACATTAGGGATTCTTTAAAAAAAAAAAAAAAAAAACAAAAAAAAATCCAAA